CTCTTTTACTCCGAAGAAGGACTAGCGTCCAAAACGTCGGTAAGTTTTTTCATCTTTTCAAGGTGTATAATTTACCCTTTTATCATTACATAATATGAATTGTATTGTACTTTACAAATCCAAACTGCATCAAAACTCTTGTCAAACTATCACACTAGAGTTTACTCACCTCTGCAGCTGCATTTCTGAAATATCGTTCTCTTGTCAAGAAATTATTCTTTTATCAGTAAAAAGAATATATTAAAGAATAAAAAGAGAAAACATATCACTTCTTGCTCACTTCTACACGTCTACGATTCATTCTTGTTGGGTTTCCTGTGTTAGAAATGAAAACCTCGTTACCAGTTCATCCTCTTTCCGTTTCTAAGATGGCGTCAGATGGCGGTCATTTGAAGGTTTATGTATAATTATATGGATCCAGCATCTACTAAGAAAAAATTCTGAAGATATCAGGTTAGGAAAAACAGCCCAAACTAAGTTGTTAATAAGTTGCTTACTTGTAGTTGAACTATGGATAAGTTTTAAGCTAAGAATAATGATTTGTTAATTATAAAGCTTATCATTTAAAAACTATTTCCACTTGACTTTTTTCTCAAAATTATCATTTTTATTCATGGTTCAACTCCTAATAAGCTTGTGCATGCTCTGCTTAGTGGGTTTTGAAACTAAGTAAAATAACTATCTGTCAAGTCATAGCTCAAACATTTTCCTCTCACAGCTTTCAATCAATCAAATGATTGAATTCAAAATTTATTTTATGTTTGATTATTATTTACCTTTAAAAATCTAATATAAAGAAAACAGATTGGGCTTCCTGTGTATTGATCAACACAGGAAACCCAAAAAACGCAAATCGTGGGTCAGAAGTTATTTTCTTCTTTTTTCAGTAAATGGCAATACAAAATTGCTCTGGCAAACTCTGGGATATATTCTTTTAACTGATAAACGAAAAATTTCTTAACAAGTGAACGATATTTTAGAAATGCAGCTGCAGAGGTGACTGTAAACTTGTAGTTACTAAAACAAAGAACGACCTGAAACCATCCTGAAACCACCTGAAACCAACCAAAACGTTGAATCTCCATCGAGTTTGTCGTCCAGTTTGTGTATGTTATTGGCTTTATTGATCGAACGAGTGTTTGTTTTGGAAGACTGCCATATAGTTGCCCATACGTATAGTCTCCCATAGAAGTATTCCATCATACCTCACCTCTCCCTTGCTATGATTACCTGTTCCTAGCTATGATCAACTGTTCCTACCTATGATCAACTGTTCCTACCTATGATCAACTGTTCCTACCTATGATCAACTGTCCCTAGCTGTCATCAACTATCCCTAGCTATGATCAACTATCATAGGTAGGGACAGTTGATCATAGCTAAGAACGGTTGATCATAGCTAGGGATAGTTGATCATAGGTAGGGACAGTTGATTATAGTTAGGGATAGTTGATCATAGCTAAGAAGGGTTGATCATAGCTAGGGATAGCTGATCATAGGTAGGGATAGTTGATCATAGCTAAGAATGGTTGATCATAGCTAGGGATAGTTGATCATAGCTAGGGATAGTTGATCATAGCTAGGGACAGTTGATCATAGCTAGGGATAGTTGATCATAGCTAGGGATAGTTGATCATAGCTAGTGATAGTTGGTCATAGCTAGGGACAGTTGATCATAGGTAGGGACAGTTGATCATAGCTAAGAAGGGTTGATCATAGCTAGGGATAGTTGATCATAGCTAGGGATAGTTGATCATAGCTAGGGATAGTTGATCATAGCTAGGGATAGTTGATCATAGCTAGGGACAGTTGATCATAGGTAGGGACAGTTGATCATAGCTAGGGATAGTTGATCATAGCTAGGAACAGGTAATCACAGCAAGGGACAGTTGATCATAGGTAGGGACAGTTGATCATAGCTAGGGATAGCTGAACATAGCTAGGGATAGTTGATCATAGCTAGGGATAGTTGATCATAGCTAGGGATAGTTGATCATAG